ACAGCAACAGACAGTAAGTGCCGCCTATGCAAAGAAGCTGAAGAAACAGTGGACCACTTGGTAAGCTGTTGCAAGAAGATTGCACAGACTGATTACAAGCAGCGGCATGACAAAGTAGCAACAATGGTGCATTGGAAGATCTGCAAAAAATATCATTTGCCTGTAAGCAAAAACTGGTGGGATCATAAAATAGAGAAAGTCATAGAAAATGATAAAATTAAACTGCTCTGGGACTTCAGAATTCAAACAGACAAGCACCTGCAACATAACACCCCAGACTTAACAATTGTCGATAAGAAAGACAAAAAAGTCTGGATAGTGGACGTGGCAGTGCCTGGAGATAGCAGAATAGAAGAGAAAGAACTGGAGAAGATAACAAAATACAAAGACCTACAAATAGAAATAGAAAGACTGTGGCAAAAGCAAGCAAGGGTAGTACCAATAGTCATAGGCTCCTTGGGTGCAATCCCAAAACAACTGGAGCACCACTTGAACACCATTGGCATTGACAAATTCGCTATTAGTCAATTGCAAAAGGCGGCCTTACTAGGAACTGCTTCCATCCTGCGACGATATCTGTGATACCATCAAACATCCACATCTGCCTATCCCAGGTCCTGGGTAAGGACTCGATAGGTAGACAAAATGCCAAATCCAGTCTGAACATCTGACTGACTGTGCCATGATTAATAATAATAATAATAATAATAATAATAATAATAATAATAATGTTGGAAGGGACCTTGGAGGTCATCTAGTCAAACCCCCTGCTCAGGAAGGAAACCCTATACCATATCTGGAAAATGGCTGTCCAGTCTTTTCTTGAAAACTTCCATTGTTGGAACACTTCTGGAGGCAGGTTGTTCCACTGGTTAGTTGTTCTAACTGTCAGGAAGTTTCTCCTTAGTTCTGGGTTGCTTCTCTCCTTGATTAGTTTCCATCCGTTGCTTCTTGTCCTGCCTTCAGGTGCTTTGGAGAATAGCTTGACTCCCTCTTCTTTGTGGCAGTCCCTGAGATATTGGAACACTGCTATCATGTCCCCCCTTGTCCTTCTCTTCATTAAATTGGACATACCCAATTCCAGCAGCCGTTCCTTATATGCTTTAGCCTCCAGTCCCCTAATCATCTTTGTTGCTCTTCTTTGTACTCTTTCTAGAGTTTCAACATTTTTTTTACATCGTGGTGACCAAAACTGGATGCAGTATTCCAAGTGTGGCCTTACCAAGGCATTGTAAAGTGGTATTAATACTTCATGTGATCTTGATTCTATCCCTCTGTTAATGCAGCCTAGCACTATGTTTGCCTTTTTGGCAGCTGCAGCACAATGTTGGCTCATATTTAAGTGATTGTCCATTAGGACTCCAAGGTCCCTCTCACAGTTACTACTATTGAGCATGGTACCCTCTATATTATACTGTACATTTGGTTTTTCTTGCCTAACTGTACATTACTTTTTTCACCATTGAATTTCATTTTTTAGATAGTGCCCAGTGTTCAAGTCTGTCCAGATCCTCCTGTATTTTAAGCCTATCTTCTGGAGTGTTGGCTATTCCTGCCAGCTTGGTGTTGTCTGCAAATTTGATGAGTTCCCCATCTATCCCCTCATCCAAATCATTGATGAAGATATTGAAGAGCACTGGGCCCAGAACAGAGCCCTGGGGCACCCCACTACATACTTCCCTCCATGTAGATGCAGTTCCATTGAGGACCACACACTGAGTATGGCCGGTCAGCCAGCTATGATCCATCTTGTGTAAAGACAGATGCACATATGAAGAGATAACTGACTGCAATTATCAGGAAGAAATTAAATACTATGTAAACAATTGAATATGGACAGAAAGCCATTATCTTACTACTATAGGAGACCCACGTTAGTCAATGGCAGCAAAAATCAGGAGAAGTCTGATAGCACTTTTTCTGGCTAGCTCATTTTATTAAGAGGCATTAACTTTCATGAGCTGCAGCTAATTTGATCAGATACTAGTGGATTTGACTGATCAGCCATTTGATCAGTGATCTCATGGGGGATTTAAATTGAGATGATGCGGGTTTGGGGGAACAGGTTGGTTATGCAGATATGGTATATGTTACCTGTGAGACGGATTACAAATACCTTATAAATATCATCTTACCACCTCCTCATAATTTAAATCATACATTGGTCAAGTTAATCCATGCATTTAATGAAGTGAGTGGCTCATGAAAGTGAATGCCTCTTAATATATCTGTTAGCTGGAATGTGTGCTACCAGATTTCTTTTGATTTTTCCCTTGGCAACTAAGAGAAGTCAGTCCCACCATTAATTGGAGTGACAGATTTTAAAAAAAATAAAATTGTAGTTTAAGATAGATCCAGCATATTTCATTTTAAAATGAAAATATAGAGCATTTCTGGAAAGCGTCACTTGTATAGACAACTTTAAAACTGGCTCTAAATTATACTGGATTTATTGTTATATATTCTTTTCCACTTTGAAGACAATTATGTATTCAAGGTCCTTTTAAAACAATAAAGAATTGGCACAGCTAGTACAAATCCCAACAGTGGATTTCTTAGTATTGCTGAAGTACTGAATAATCATTTTATCCCGGAAATTGTGTCCAACATATCGGGAGCACATTAAGTTGGGAAAGACTGAGTGGCCAATAGCAACAGGAACCTCTATAGTATAGTCTTGGTAGTTTCTGAACTCAGAAGTATATCTGAGTTCAATTATTGCAAAGGGATTTTCAAAAAGGCATGAGAAACAATACAAAGCTTTTCCATATTCTCCAACAAATTTAACAATGCCTTGCTTGACCAGAACTGATGACCCATCCATCTTAAAACTCCAGGCAGGACTGGGGTATTTTCACATTGCTTCTGTTTTCAGCAGATCCTCCTGGGCTGATGACAAACCGTCTCTGAAATGGAGGCTCAATTCAAAAACACTTGATGACAGGAATAGATATTTGCATACGTGGACTTCAGTGTCCAGGTTGCCAATCCCACGGGACCAGCACAAGCCCCTTGCAGGAGACCAAGCAGCTTTTTATGCCAGCCAGATTCAATCCTACTTCTTGTATGCAACATCTGGTAACCAGCTCTTATTACTAGGCATAGCTTTCTATGGTCAGCTTTTCTGGATAATAAATGCATCAGATCCACCCTCCACAAATCTCTGGCGTGTCTAGCTGGATCCATTATCATTACTAAGCAGTCTGATGGCTGTTTTTACTCCATCAGGCTGCCAAAACTGAAGCTGTAGTTCAGTAGCAGAGCTCCACTGTTAGCCTTGAATGTTTCTCAGCCTTGTAGAATGCTTGCATTTCTGTTCATTAGGAGATGCTGAAGCATTGTTATCATTTTGTGTACTGCTCTGGCCTCTCACAGCAGAAGAATTGTTTGCTTGCTTCCTCTGTCCACATCTAAAGGAAGAGACATCCTTTTCACTCCTTAGACAGAAGAGGTTTTCTACAGCCTCCTAAGAACCCACCAGAAATTTTGCCACAGCTGCACCACATACAACAGAGCTCTTCACACAAGCCAACAAAGCTAATGAGAGACTTTTGCCAAGGGAAGGGTCTGGCAGTGCCAATTATGAGGCTGTAAAGTTAATCAATGCAAAGCAGAGCCAAGATGGAATAAGGGAGCCCCAAATAGTCAGACTATCCTTCCCCTACCCCAACCTGCCCCAGCAATGTTTATCCCACACCTCACTGTGATCACAGACCCCATTTACTGTTTGCAACCTGAGCCAAAGCAGAAGAGATTTTCCTGATGTTTGAGGAGTCATGCAGAAAGCTAGCAGGGAGGTGTTCAAAATAAAAGGCAACATTGAAAAAGCAGCCAGACTGAGCCCAAGAAAGGAGAGCAGCTTTTGAAACAATAGCAAAAGAAAGCCTTTCCTTTCTGCAGACAAGAGAAGATGGCACTGGGCTTTTCTCCCAGGAGTGAGGACTGCTCTTGGATCCAAAGCAGCTTTTCCCCTTTCTTCTTGTGTGGCCTCATCTGAACCTCTCTCCAATCACCTTGAGCATCATGGCGCTGGCAGAAAGTGGCAGAAAGATGTAGGGACTGCGGTTACTATGACAGATTTTACTCTTTGTGTGGGGGAAAACATAATCATATGGACAAATCCCCCCCTACCAAATCTGGTTCCTAATAGCTTTGTGAAACTGAGAACCAGGAGAACCAGCAAACATTGGTAGAAAATGTGTGCTTGTATATTTCAAATCCTGATTTTGTGGGGAGGAGGAAAGTTGAAATGGTGAGTACCACATCAACTTTTTTAGCAATGCAGATACCCTTGTATACAAGCAGAATTTTGTCAGAAGTCTGCAAAGTTGAACTGCTACTTTGTTTATAACTATAAGGGAAGAGTGTAACACATGCAAAGCATCTGCCTTGTTCACCAAATAACTAGGAAGTAGGGGTTTTACTTATAGTTTCCAAGTATAGTAATTATCTATTTAACAATATTATTGCTGGAGGGAATGTTAAGAGTCCTTGCCCAGATTCTATCAAGCCCTAGTCTGGTTTTGTTGGTTTGACCAATGAAAGGAAATGCTAAGGAAACCCAGCCACTTCAATTTATTTAACAAGCTATGATTAAATAAGGCTTGGTGTAATGTATGAATCAGAATCATGCCTCACTCCCACTTCCTGTATTAGAACTGAGGATGCATATATTTAAATAATCAGAAATAATAATAAAATAAGTATAGTATATAGATTGGCACTGGGAGACACAGATTCAAGTCTACCCATAGCTATAGGCAGTCATCTTCTCTCTACCCAGTCTACTTCACAGCATTGTTGTGGTGGGAAAAAAATATATGAGGGAGCTATACTGAGAGAGGGGAGGGAGGGAGGGAGGGAGGGAGGGAGGGAGGAAAGGAAGGAAGAATACAAGCAGGTAGAATTCCTTTGTGTATATTTTCCAAGATCCCAACTTCTAATGGCTATTTCTGTTGTAGTTTAAACCCCAGCCTTTCCAAAGATAACTCCTCACTTACCTGAAGTATCCCACATGTTAAGCTCAATGCGCTGCTTCTCAATCTCAAAACTGGCTGTGTAGTTCTCAAATACAGTAGGGACATAATTCTGCAGAGAATGGACAGAAATGAGGGATCAGAATGCATACCAAGCATCAGATACAAGACTCATAGAAATGGGAGCTTATTCCCACCAGACTGTCCACATTCTTCTTTAGACTACTCTCAAAAGCAGCCTTTCTGGCGCCTTCACTCTATTCTTGATATGACAAAAATAGACCCTGGCTGGGAGGACTAAGCAACACCCATTAGTGCTGGACTAATATTCTCAAGGCTCCTTTGCTACATGAAGCTGATGGAAGCAGTAATGTAGAACTACCTGAGGCAGCAGTTTGCTTACTCATGAGCTACCCCAGGATGAAAGCAACTGCTTACAGGCAGTCCTCTAGAAGGGCTGGGAACTGATACTAGATTTTTAGAGCTCCCTGAAGAGACCAGGGCTCTTTTTTCATTCCTCAGCATTGTCCACAGAATGGGACACATTGCTATATGATCGATCGATCCCTTTCCAACCCTAGTTTCCTAATTTTCAAAATTTTCATTCCCTTATTTTCCTTGAGCAGATCTGATTCCTGTCCTTTATCAGTCTCCACCAGAAACTGCCCTTGAACCTCCTTCCTTCCCCAAAAATCCCACGCAAGCTCTACTTTCCCTCCTGCATGAGGGTCGATATATTTCACCCATTATTTCTCTCTTTTGCCTTATCTCCCCAATCTCACAGTCTACCTTGAAACCGGGTTTCAATCTCCCCCCCCCCCCGCATGAGTAGTAACCCTGCAGCTAGCGAGTTCTCCATAAAGTACCGTAGTCCACGATCATTGGGCTCACGTATGCTCAGCCCCACCGCTGGACCTTCCTGGTGGGACTAAGGGTTCGTGCCCACCCCAGCCCCGCGCCAACAGCACTCTCCACGCTCCACCTGCACACCCAGCCAGTCGCTCTCATTCACTTCCATCGCTTCCCGCTGAATCTGCTTCCTCAGTTCACAATATGACCTTCGCAACGTGGTCCCTTTGAACGAAGCCCTCCCGCCCCATCTTTTCGAAAGGCCCTCCGTCCGCTCCCCTTGCTCTCCTTCAAGCTCCCTTGCAGTTTCTCCATCCCGGGCCGCCTGCACTCTTCCCCTTTGCCCCGGCTCTCCTACCTCAGGATAGGCGTCCTTGGCGAAAACATGCAGCAACGCCGTCTTGCCGCATTGGCTATCACCAACTACTACGATTTTGCAGCGTGCTAGCTGATTCTCCATGACCGCCGGCGTCCCCGCTGTTGAGTGAATGAGCTACGAGCGACCCGTACACAACGCGCTGCCTGCTAGCCCGGCCAGCCCCAGAGCATCGCAGCTAGTCGCTTACTCCCTCCCTCGCTCTCCTGCCTTCTCAATCCCAGCGCCCGGCTACCGCCTCTGCTTTCCGGCTCCTTATGCCACACCCCCGACTCCGCCCTCCTGGCTCGCGGTCCTGGTGCAGCCAGAGGTTCATCATCTCTGTCGCTAGGGGGCGCTCTTTGCTTTTCTCGCTTGCGGGGAGAAAAAGGCTCCAGGAACGCCGGAGACTCATCAAGATTTGCGCAGACAATCTGCGCGGAGAGTTTGACAGCTTAGCTCGCAAAGTTCAAAAGTAACTTTCACCTCGGAAAAAATAACGACGATGTTCATGCTGTTTTGAACTACATTTAAATTATTTTATAATTTGGAAGGAGGACTTTTTCCGGTTTCTTTACTAACCCTGCTGAACTTACTAAGGGGTAAACAAACGGATTATATATTTAAATGCCTTCATATTCTGTCTTTTGGAGGAACTGCAGGACTTTTATTTTTTTTGACGGAGCAGGAAGAATAATTATTTTCTTTACGTTTCATCCATTCTATATTTTTGCATCCCCCATTTTATTCCTGCAAACTGTTTAACGCTAAAAAAAAAACTACTTAAAAAAAAAGAGATCAAAACCTAGAGGCAAACATTACAGGAATGAATTGGACACTCAAAATAATTTCCTGATAAAAATGTAGTGTAGTGTAGCATGGTACAGTATTAGTATAATAACATGTATAACTGCATTAAAATGTTTATTCTAATAGTAAAATCTAATTTAAACTAAGGCTAAAGAAAGCGAAGAAAATAGAAGGTAAAAAGTATGTGAAAAAGGAAAACAAAGAGAAGAGATAGAAAAGAAAGATTATAATAAAAAAGAAATATGTAAAGTATAAACAAATTTAGTGATTCTTCTTGCCCCTCCAAAGGATAGAAATATTCACTCCATCTTTTATCTACAAACAAATCCATCATAAAGATCATCTTTTCAGTTCTGGTGTAAGCAGAAAATCCATAAAAGGTTACCAAAAGTAACAACACATCTCGATCAAATAAACTATCTTTGTATTCCTTTTATTTTTAACAGTCAATCTTCAGCTCAAATATTTTTGTTGGATTTGATTTCATTTATTTCATTGAACTGAATTCTTCAGGTCCTTAACAAACCTCTTGTAATCCAATAAAAAAATTATCCAGGTCACTTTCTTGGTTTATAATTTATATTTCCCTTTTGATTTTTTAAAAATATCAGACAGGTTTTTTGTATATCCGGTGAGATATCCTTTTCCAAGTTGTTATTTTGCCCATTATTTGCATATCCACTTTCATTATCACCTCTATCTTGTCAGATAAAATTTGTTCAACATTTGTCATTTCTTCATTAACATATTTTGGACATAATCTATCCACAGAGGCAGACATCATGACTAACACAGTCTGTCAGTAGTTGTAGCTACTAATTTTGGTCTCATTCTTCAAAAGTCTTTAGTATTTTCAGCGTTGTAACATTTTATAACATGTTATAGATCCTAGTTAATTATCACAAAAGGTAGGTATATGTTTTTTTTCTCTCTGTCTTGAATTAGTCTCCTTAGTCTTCAATTTTTAAAATTATTGGTCTTGTAAAAACCAAGAGATCTATTTCTCATGAGAAGTTTTTTTTTTGTAATTAAGTCTAAAATTTTGTAGTAATGGTTTCTAAATTGCAAATTTATTTGGATCCACAGTCCATTTACAACACGGGTGTCAAACTTGCCACGTCATGTGACATGTTGCGATGTATTTCTCTTGCCTCTCATCACTTAAATCCAAGGTAGACTGATCTCCTGTGATGTCTGGGCAGGGATCAGCTGTCTGGAGCAAAGATAGATGATCCCTTCTTCTCTCCTTAGCTGGAAAGGTTTCAAGGAATCATAGATACTCCATCTTTGCCATGGTTGTCAGCTCTGCTTTCTTGGAGATGTCTTTAGTCCACCAGTCTCACTCTTAAACATTAACAAGATTTAAAATATTTTTTCTTATTCATTTCCAAAGAGATAGCCACCCATTAGATTGTTGTGGCAGAATTCTCTCTAAGTCCTTAATGGCCCACAAATTACTTTGGCAGAAACCTCCATCAGTGAGAAATTGATACACCAGCACAGATCATGCATTTGGTTTTTTAAAAAAATCTATCTTCCATTCGTCTTTTACAGCCCTAGATTTGATGTGGACATTTGTTAGAAGATAATAGATGTTACTCTCTTCATGTGATCCTCCAAAGAGATACAGTACTGTACTCAAAACAGAAAGGCCATTTTGTGTCTTTTTTTGTGTGTGTGCAAATAGAGACTATTTTCTTCCTTAGCCACATGGGGGACCACAATGATTCATGTCGCAAGAGTTTTGAAATGTTATGGAAGGAAAGAAAAAGATGCTGCAATGAATGTAGCAAATCTCTCAGATGAAGACTTCCTTGAACTGAGGGTTGACCTCTTGATGACTGCATGGATATTTTGTGCATGGCTACAATCACCATTTCATTCAATGGCCTCATAAAACTGGATACAGGCACACAGCAATTTTTCCGTGTTAATTTTCTTATTCATAAAGTCGACTACAATACCCAGCATCCATGGATAGCATAGTCATGCACATATGTATGACATAAATACATCCCTGTCATTCTTCTTGTTCTTTGCATTAGTTCCGTCATACCGTGGGGTCCACAAAACTGCATCCATCTCATTATTTACATATAATTCCAATGTGACAGCATATCGACCAGCTGCGTACAAGACTGGACTTACATTCAGAGACTCCTGGTTCTTTTCCAGGGGGGGAGGGGGACCTCTATGGGCAAAGGGATGGGTGTTGGCAGCAGCCAGGCACCAACAGAGAGGCCACAGACAGCCTATCACAAGATTCCGCGACTGTTCCGAACAGGAATTCGGGGGAACTAGCTAGCACACAGGCACCAGTGCCTACTCCAACCAGGGAGTCACCCAGGGGGCATACTCATCATCCACTAACACCATTCAGCACTCCAGTCAGGGAGAATAACCAGGAGCATCCTAATAACTCAAACATTGCAAGAGAGCTGGCACACAATCAGTCTAGTTGGCCCAGCACTGCTACTGTTCCCAGAAGGGGGCATTCACACAGGGAGGTGGTCGGAGGGGCAAATCCCAATTCTGACATCTCCGGCATAGTTGAGGGGGCAACTGAGTTTTGGGGTAGTACTGAAAATCCAGACAGTCCTACTATGGAACTGGGGAGTGGAGGAAGGCAACCTCACGATAGGTCCAATATGGGCCTGGGAGGCTCTACAGAGTTGCCCAACAGTGGCAGTCTTCTAGAGGGGCCAGAGAGCCTGCAACTAGGTAGGTCAACCAGGTTATTGAGAGAACAAAGTCCTGGTCTGACGAGCCCGGTGGGCAAGCAAGCAGACCAGGCAACCGGGCACGGTCCATGGGGACCACCAGGGTCCAAGAAAGGGAGCAAACCCATATCATCCCCTGGGCAAAATGTAATTGGAGTTTATCAGGGCCTAAGGAGATCACAGAGAGCTAAGAGATCTCCTAAGTACCTTGAAGATTTTGTAACTCTGCTGGCAAAGCAGAAACAGTGAGAGGGTGTTTCTGTGGAAAATTGGAAATATGGGCACTGGGGAATTAATCTCCAGAACAATAGCCTGGCACCATTGGAGCAGGGGTTGGCACACCATGCTCGTGTTGAGGTCGCGTGTAACTATTCATACTGTTGTAGTCTTAGCTGGAGGGGAAGGAGTGTTGTGTCCTGAGCCTGCAAAGGCAGGCTCGGGACATTGCAACGGTCCCGGGCAGTTGCAAGCTGCCCGGGACCAGACTGGCTGGCGCCAGCACTCGTGCGCATGCACGAGGCGCGCCACGCACCTAAATGTTGCCTTTTGGCCCAGGGATTGTTTTTAAGAAAGGCTGAGAGGCTTGCGTGCCTCAGAGTTGTAACGGGGCTACAGAACAACAATAAAGAGGCTCCTGAAACTATGAGATGCTTCTGACTTATTGCCAATAGCTGAGGACTCAACACAATATCCACAAAAATAAGTTTTGTTTTGTTTCTTTCTGACATTCTCTGATTAAAATGACCACTGGTCTGTAACTACAAGCCATAGAATACAGAACAAGAATCAGGCAAGAAGCCCAGAGCATGACTTTCTCTGCATCAGCTCTTGACAAGTGATCCAATATTGTCAATCACACCAAAGTTTTGCTTCCCAGCCTTTCTTCCAGGGTTTTTATAACTTCAAATTTGGTTTGGGTATTTGTTACAAGACAACAGATGTCATTCTGTCATTCTGAATAGATCTATACAAAAAAGCACCAGTGGATATCAGGAATGGCCAAATCCTGAAACATAGGACATTAACATTGCCACAACATTCTTGTTAAACAAGCTTAATGCCTTGAATACTGAATGTGAAATTTTGGTTGGAGAAGGCTGAATTGTATCATTTTTCTCATGCTCCATGTGCAAATTAGTTTACTAGTCTCAGAATGTTTATGTAGTCATTAACACTGCCTGTTTAGGAGACTATGCAGATGTAACTTTTGGTGGAATAAAGTACAGTAGACAAGATGGCAAGAACCAGTTGGTGGTTAAAGGCCTATGCTAGAAAGCAGAAGACTGTGAATTCTAGTCCTGCCTTAGCAGAAGGCCAGCTGGATGACTTTAGCCAGTGACTCATTGTCAGCCTCCAGAAGGAGGTAATGGCAAACTGCGTCCAAAAAATATTGCAAGAGAATTGCATGAGCTTGTGTGCTAATTCACCAGAAATCAGAAGTGCCTCAAGAACACAGGGAAACTAATAGGAGGCCATATGCTGCAATGGGAGGACGGAGGTCAGGAAAAGTGAACTGCAAAAGAAAAAAAGTGTAGTGAAAATTGTGTAAAAACAAAAGAAGTGTGCTGCTAATGGTATGATTAGGAATGCCCATATGGGTGTTCAAAATATCAAATGGATACCATGTGATTGAAGCACTATCGCTTTTTAATCTGCATTTCACAGCTTCCATCATGCAGCTGCAGTCACCATCTTGACTTTTTTGAGCCTCTCTGGACATTCCTG